GTGGCACCTCCTCAGCATCTTCGTGTCAGTCTATCTTTTTCACAGCCTTTGTCTTGAAGGAACTACCTGAAGCAGTGAAGGGAGTTTGGTCTTTGATGAAATTGCAAATATGATTATAACTAGTCGTCTTTCTAGACGCTTGTCCTTAAGCAGGGATTAAAAGGTAGTGTTTTGTGGTTAATAGATCATGATTGCAGATGTCAAAAAGCCCTCTTCATTAGGTGCTGAAATAATATCACTGGAGGTTTCTCGTATCTCTACCATGGAGAGTGAGTTATTGCTATCTTAATTTTAAATCTGACTTCTGCCTGTTTGACTTTTTACTTCCTTGCTTGCTCTATTCATCTTTGCATATTTCTGTAACAGCTGTGATTCTCTAGTGGATCCTCCATTGGACATAGGGGCTGATGGGACTGGAGAATCTTGCTGCTGAAGATGGAGATTTAGCTCTTGTATTCCCTTCTGGGTATGGATCGGGGTATGCAGCCTTGAATGAAAGGAGGGTTCAAGTTGGACTTACAGTCAGGGACTGTAGTAATCAGTCATCCTTGGGCATCTTGTGTGGTGCTTGAGAAGTCTATTAGGGCTTGTCTGCATGGATGTGAATACAGGCAAGCTTGCACTCTGAGTGCATTGGGAGTAAGGTGAATCTGATCTGTTAGTGCTGTGTTTGAGCTGTGCTAACTTACCCTACAGCTGCAAGGCTTGTGTCCTGGAGCTGGCTTGTGGAGCATAGGGTTGCTGGGTTGCACCAGACTGCACAGACATGCCTGAAGACTCCCTGTGCTGCAGTTTTTCCATGTGTAAAAACAAAGCATTAGAGCTTATGCCTGTCCCCACAAATGCTTGTGATGAGCCGTGGAGGAAGGGCATCGCTAGGTGAGGAGTTCTTACAAACACTCTGAAAATTTGGAAGGGCCTTTGTTATTAGGTTGATTGCAAAAAATCTCATTAGTAGAGTTCTTTTTCTGTACTGATAGGTTCTAGAAAACTTTTTTCCAGCCCCAGATATCCATGATTGGAGGGTGCTCTAATTTTCTTTAAAATAAAGTGAAGTAAAACTAAACATTTATCTTGAATGACACAGGCTAAAACTCCCTTTTTCTAAAGATAAGTTCCTCTGCCTTATTTATTTTCTTTTCCTCTTACAAAAAGTGATTTAAGAAAGGCAGAATTTCAGTAAATAACCCTCATGGGTTATTTACTGAAACCTGGTATTGGCTTAATTTGAAAACCTTGACTATAGTTGAAGAGACCGGTGGTGTTTGAACCCCTTTAGCATGAGCATTGCTCACAGAAGGATGTGGAAAAGCTTTCTAGGAAGTTGGTGAATGCTCTAAACCAAAACACTTCAGATTTTAAGCTTATAGTCAAGAGACAATGGGAACAATGCAGGAGGTCAGTGGGTGTGCTAGAGATTGGCACTTGGCTTCACCCCCCCTTGTTTCTGGAGAAGCAAGGAACTGTAGTTGTTTGTGAGAGGGTTAAAACCATTTCAGCAAGGAGTAAGCTGTGAGTAGTTGCTGTAGTCATAGAGCAGACCTGATAGCCTAAGGCTGAAGAGTGGAACTGGAGAAAGACTTTGCCAAGGTGGATGGACACTACCAGGCAGGTTGCTGCTGTTCAGGAGGTGTCCTCCTCTCCCAGCTGCGTGTTCCCTCTGCTTGCATTTTACCAGGGCTTGTGCTTGGTGGAGCCTTTGCCTTGCTGGGCCAGTTTGCTGAGCCCTTGGAGTGAGGAGTCTGGGAGAGCTGGTGCAGCTGGAGTGAGTGAGACTGAGGGGCTGAGCGGGGGTATGTTTTTAGCAGCAGCTGAACATCAGGTTGACTGCGCCTTCTCATGAAGCTTCACCCTTAAGAAGAAGCTTTGTTCCCTGCTTAACGTCCCTCTTCCTGGAAATCTGTTCCTGGTTTCCATAAGCGTGCCACTGCTACATGCTAGCAGTCCCTCTTCTCAAAGCCAACTCTATCTCCGCTGAGGTTATTATCTCTTAAGAGCCATAAATGAACTCTTAATTCTTTGACTTTCATTCAGTGATGAAATTAACTAATTTATTCTATAAAGTATATAGTACTTGTAAGTATGACATGTAAATGTAGCTGTTGAAATCTTAACATTTGCATTTCTGAATTTATTTTTTTTTGTCCCCCCTCTTAATGCTTTACTAATAAACGACATGAAATGCATTACTTGGATACATTCAAATGCATATTTCTTGGACATAAAACTACCGTTCAGTGAAATGCCAAGTACCACTTCTCTCAGGTAACTAACATCTTGTAAATCCATTATTTGTGCTCCTGAGCACATGAAGAAATATCTGATGTGAGCATTTAGGCACATTACTTTTTCTGTGGAACGCGATTCTGCAGGACTTGTTGTCATGTAGGTTTGTGTTTTTTTTTTTTTCATCTTTACCTTATTTTTTTTTAAGCAGATTATAAAAATATTTAGCATTACCCATGTATTTGTCTAGAGAATGTAGTGCCACAGTATGTGTGCACCCTTGTTATATCTGAGTGACATAAATATTTTTGTGGCAGTGTTGTATATTGCCTGGCTAATTTGTAGGGGGAAAAAAAGAAATCATCTTGCTGCTTTTAGCAAAAATTCAATAGAATGGAAGAGTAAGATCTAATATTAAGCACTCTTTTTTTTTTTTTTTCCTAAGAACATATTCAGCAGTAAATGTACCAGCACATTATGGAGAATTGCCATACTTACAGCTATTCTGCATGTATCTTAAACAAATGAACATTTCTTTTCCCTCTCCTATTTGAAGCTTCATGTTTACTGACTTGGTAAGCAAAGCGGGGCTTTGGACTCTCAGACTATGGTGGTTGTAACAATCCTTTGCTTAATGTAGTGTGATTGCGTGAATGAACAAGGTTTTAATCTTCTAATACAGGAAGCTTTAACAGCTACAGTGCTGACCGAATCTTACAACTTCAGGGACAGCTCAGCTGCCGTTTAGGCTCATGTTAACTATCGCCCTTCCCACTCAAGATCACGTAACTGACCCTTGGACAACCAGGATTTGCTTCCATGCTTTCCTTATGTTAATTTTGCATGTCAAGTTTTAAGCTGTATTTCAAATCTGGCAGCTGCAAGCAAGAGGTGGTGACCTCAGGTGCACAGCAAGGGTTCTGCAGTCTGTAAAACACAATTTGGGCATCTCTTTTATGGTACATTTGCACCATGTATGTGCTAAGCTTGGGAGCGAGGGCAGTCTTGCCTATCTTTCCAGCGGGACTTACACTAACACTGTGCAGGAGTGAGGGTAGGTGCATGGCCATCTGTAATGTGCCATAAGGCTGTTTAGGGTACTTGTTCCTTGTGCCAGCAGTGCTAGCTGGTGGGAGAAGAGGGTAAAATCTGTTTTGTGGGGAAGGGGCTGCTGGAAGCAAAGTGAAATAAGAGAGCTGTAAAAAATTGATAAAGATAGGGCTGTCTGTTTTTATATTCTGCCACATAACATGGGTTTAAATGAATTTCCCTATAATTTGTCTTCAAATACCGACATTTAACTCTTAGACTGTATAAATGAACTGGCTTTTTCTAGAGTAAAATTCATGCCCTGCGTCCAGGCTAATATGTTCACCTACTATCAACATTACTGCCTATGGTTACAACCGGAATAAAAAATTCTTTTTATATACATCATAGCTGGCAGAGACTCCCGAGACCACCACAAATCACTTCAGCCTTTTGGTGTGCTCTCTGACGAAATGAACTGAAATGTAAAACAGCTCAGGCTTCAGGCAGGCTGGCTTTGGAAAGCAATTAGCTTGTTTAGACCATTGTTTGTGCCATCCTGTATTTCCAGGTGCTGAGCAAAAGTGTTCTAGGAGCTCTCCTGATCGATTTAAACATTGGGGCTTAATAACCTCCCATTCCGTCCTGAAATGTTTGCTTATTCTCTGTGTAGCCTTTTTTTAATTTTTTTTTAATGGAAAAAAAAAACAAGAAAACCTGGCAAGCCCCCCCCCCCCCCCCCCCCCCCCCAAAAGAACAAGAAATAGAAGGAAAAGAAAAAACATCAGGGTCATAATGGGGAATAACAAAGCAGCGAGTTATTTATGCAGCCATGATTGGCAAAAAGGATTGCAACATTATTTTGCCCAGAAGCAATGATTAGATCATAAAAATGTTAAGGAAATCTGTAACTCAACACCATTTTATAGATTGAAGAAGTTTTTGTTCCCTACCTTAATTGCAGTGACTTGTTATTAAAGTATTTATTCAGAGTAATCTCTTTGGACAGCGAGCCCTTATCCCATCTGCATGCATAATTAAAAGTGAGGGGGGAGAGAGGGGAGCATAAATGGTTTACCATGCTACATGAGCAAGGGAGGGAATTACACAATGACAGGTGAAGAGCAGATTTGTCTCCTATTGGAATTTCAATGCTGCAAGCAAGGCAGGACACTGTTGCTTGTTAATATCCTTGCAAACACCACAGTTACTGCTTCTCCACATCACTGTCCAAAAATCACGGCTAGTGTCTAAAAGGCCTGTAGCACTGTGTCTTGGCTGTGGGGTTTGGAGCCGTTGGTGCTCAAGCAAAGAGATTGGATTTGGGTATATGGGCTTGTGAATCCATTTCTGTGCTTAAAAATGGACTATTTACTTATTTGGCTGGCTTTTTATTTATTTATAAATAAACATTGGTAGTAGCTGGCTTTGCTGAATACGAATCAGAGGCTGTAATTGTTCCAACTGAAACAGTGTCATCACCTGCCTCCTGCCTGTCCCTTTTCCAATGATAAAAGAATTTGGTGTAATTCTTCTTTTTCCACTGTCTGAGTAGAAAGAAAGTTGTGCTTGAACATTCATCTCTAGGCAGATTTATCATCATTAGGCAGTACTCAAACACACACTATCTGTTTTTAAATTGAGCTGTTATGGATCCAAATCGGATTTACACAGAGTAAGTTGGTATATATTTGATTCTAAGTGTTCGCTAAAGAGTATTTTTCCCTTAACTTCTGATGTCTTACCTCTGCAGCAGCAGTACAGAGAATGCCAGGAACTTCTGAGCCTTTATCAGAAGTACCTAGCTGAGCAGCAGGAAAAACTATCCCTCTCCCTTTCTGAACTCAGTGCTGCCAAGGAAAAGGAGCAGAAGGTAAGCTCTTTTTTCCCCATCTCCTTTTTTAACAACATCTTTTAAACATCTTTTGTCCTTTGCTAGAACTTTGGGTGCATTGTCTTGCATTATGCAGCAGTGAGCACTGTTTTGTGATTGGCTTCCCAGGGCTCCTTCCCTTAATACATGGATTTCAGGGAAATGAACAAAAAGACCTCTCACGTTTTGGGTCAATAAAGTGTATGAAGTTAACTGTCCATGTGGTAGTGCAGTAGGAATCGTAGGAACCCATGCCTTTCCTAACGAAAAAGTTGAGATGCTGTTCTGTTTTCTGTCCTGTTTCTTAAATGGTAAAATAATTGCAGTCACTATAGATACAGCCTTTCAGAGTTTCACTGTGGCTTTTGATGATTGAAAAGGACATTACAGATGATGTATGTGGTCAGTAAGAGCTTTCTCAAGTCTGTAAGGCAGCCCATCTGATTTGAGCTGTTTATAGAAGACCTATAATTATATATGCAGTTTAAAAACAGAAAATGTTGACTAGAGCTACAGTATGTTAAATTAAGTGGTAAAATGTTTCTCAGATGAATGCGCCCCAAGCCTTGAAAACATGGTTGCCTGAGATTGATTTTTGTTTTTTTTTTTTCCTGATAGCTAGGTACTTGATTTGCATCCCTGCTGATAACAGATTATACCCTGGAAATGAAGGCTACTTATGCAAGTGCTGTACCTGATGTTCTTACTTGCTGTTCTCTTCCAGTAATTTCCATCTGCAGATCTCCAGAGTCTATCCTACTTAAGGCTATGCGTTTTCTCATAGGCTGGGTCCTTGATCCTTTGTTTTGCTGGAAGAGTCTTAAAGGCTTGTAAATGGCTAGAAGTGCAGTGTCCAAAAGGTGGCCTGATTTAGGCCTCCCTACTGACAGAATTACACACACAGATCCTACTTCTCAGGAGTCCTGTGAAGGAATGAGTAATCTTTAATTCTGTTCAGGAAGCAGGTTACAATACTTATGACTTCATCAGCATCAGGAAGTGCTTTTTATTCTGCTGATGGTATTTTTTTGTAAAATATGTTGTTGGACATTGAGCTGTTTGTCAGGCTTTTAGCCTTTATAAACATTTCATTTCCACTCCATTGTATTTTTGTCTGCCATCCATTTTGTGATGATGTTGAGTTCAAAACAAGAACCTCTTTCTCTGAGAATGGATGATTCTTGTGTTCTTGTCTGTGATATGCAACTTGCAGGCTATCTCCATAGGAAACAGTCCAGAAAACACCATGCAGTCCAGCAGCACCACAGGAGCTGTGTTTTCCCTCAGGTTTTGCTGCGCTTACCTGCACTGTTAGCCTTTCAGCTTTAAATACACCTATCTTGTACTAGGTTAGCGCCTAGTGTAAAGTTATCTGGTGTAATCACATCTACAGTGCAAAAGTATAGAAGCAGATAATAGGAAACCTTCAGCACATTAACTGTCAAATCAGCAGCTGACAGTACAGCAATCCACATTCATCTCCTCTTGTTCTGTTTTCTGAATTACTCCATCAATATATGTACAGACTTCTCTGAACTTGTTTTCTGATTTCATGGGCAAACTTCTATCAAGCTTGTCTTTGATCCATCCCATTATTTCTTTTTTCTACTTTTGTCCACAAACACAAATTCATATTGTATTGAGGTTTGCCTTGACATTTCAGTTATGGTTACCTAGTCTACAGCTCCAGCCTACCAGGTCTGAAATTACCCTAGCCCTCTTGCCCTGTGCAGAGCTTTCTAGCTGTAGACAAAGAGATGTCAAAGCATGTTTCAATTGTTTTTTTCCTTAGACCTTGCAAAGTATTTCTATTTCTGAAGTATTTTTAGTCTTCCTCTTCAATTTTCTTTCAGTGCAGTCCTGGTATTTATGAGCTCTTTATATCTTGAATGCTTTTGGCTTTATAAGTTGTTACCTTTTTTTTCCCAAACAAGCAGTTCTTGCTATGTTTTTCCTCACAGCTCAGAAACTATGGAAAGATTTACAGGACTGTCTCATTGTGTTGGTTCTTTCCCTGACATGCTCCTTCACGTGATAGCTATCAAGAGTCACTGGGCTGCTTCTTGTTGGGCTATTGTGTTATTTTAACACACTTTTTTTTTGTTGTTGTCTTTTTGTCTCTTGTCTTAATAACTGAACTGTGAGCTCTTAGGGTCGTGATCAGTCTCTTTTTGTTCTGTTTTAGTGTTGTCTTAACACAGTAGTTGAGGCAGGCATAGGGCTTGCATTCTGGTGTCTGCCTCGATGGGGGGAATGCCACTGGGGAATGCAGCAGGGAAGGTTTTTTGGGAGGTAATAACTGTGAGGGGGGACAGATCCAGAAGACTTTCCTCCTGCTCTAATACTGCCCACACCAGGTCTTTCTGCCCTGCGGAAGTTCTGGTATTCTCCCACCGTTTGTTTTAACCCATGTTTTAAGCCACCTTGCTGAAATACTAGGCTAAAGGAAGTCTTCGTGAGTTTTGTTTGAATCCCAGTCCTTTGGGAGTCTTTTTCCTATTGTTTGTTTTGGCTGGGTTAAGAAAATCCTGGATAGGCTTTAAATCAATAGATGCTAGCTTGCTACCTGGTTTTCGCTTCTTTGAACTGTCTAGGAGTGGTAATCAGTGTTTCCTATTTCAAGTAACTGCCAATGTTACCAGGGCATCTGTGCTTCAGTGTACGATGTCATTCTGATTTTCCTGTGTCTTGCAGAAACGTGGGGCTATACAGTTATACACTGTACTGAAATGCCTCTTTGTTCTGTCTGTTAGGAGATGGGTTTGGTTTTTTTTGCTTGTTTGTTTTTTTTTCATTTTCCCCTCATTTCCTTACTTGATTGTTTTGATTTATTTCTATTGCTACACCTATATCCTAACATCCGCTGCTTTTCACCTGTCTGGCTTCCCATTGTTACTGTACAATAATGCTGACCATGAGCTGCCACTTTCCTTTGGGCTTCAATAAGTATTTGAAAGCATCTCCTTTCAGTGGTTAAATGTTGGGCTTTGTATTAGAATATGACAATTAACAGGTCAAGAGAACTGCAGCAAACATCTGTGGCATTGTTGCAAAAAGAGGTGGAGTTGTATGAGAGGCAAAAGACTGCAGTAGCTGTATGCATGTGGCTGAAAGGTAGGTATATTGTAGCTAAATTGAACAATGCGAACACTGGTCCGGTGTTAACTTTTTGGGGGGCCTGTTTTATCATCACCTAAAGGTAGCAATATTCTGAAACCATGCTTTCTTCTTACCTAATATTGCTTCTTTAAAACAAAAGTCAGCCCTCAAAATTTAAAGAAGCATTCTGGTAGCAGTGAAATAAAATTGCTGGAAAATGGTGCTGAGATGATTTAAGACTGAGCTCTCATGGAGTCAATAATCAGTAACTGGAACATGGAGCTTCCTTTTTTTGTGAGATAAAGTTAATTCCATTTGAAAAGATACTTAAGGTGACATGAATTGAATTATTCAAACTGGCCTTCTCAGCATTAACTCTAGGTTAATATCTCATGATGCTTCTAGTTTCATTATAGGAGTTTTAAGTACATAACTTTTTATAATAAATTCAATACCTAGAAGCCGAACTGAAATTGGTTTACCTTCTACCAACCCATAAAAAGAAGCATTAATTGTAAAGTGAATATTAAAGTGGTCACTAAAGTTGACTCAGACAGATTCAGAGAGATAGCTCGTGTGTAAAGGAAGTGGAGAGCTCTGCTGAACAATAGGCTCCTGCCCTGATAGTAATAGAAAATACCATCCGTATTAAAATGTAGTTAAACCTCTTCTATCAGAAATGATTCTTGGATGTTCTGTCTGCAGCTCCCAGATTTTCAGTCTTTGCCATTTTGATGCTTTATGCAGAGATATAAAGAAAATTGCCCTTGTTTTAGGTGATCAGGTCCGACCTAGTTATAGAGTCAGTACTTCACTGCCATCTCTAATAGTGGCAAGAATCCAGTTTACGCTGGCAAGTCTCTGGCTGATGAATCCATAGATGTTCTGCAGCGTAAGGTGGGACTTGAGTCACAGAAGTTGGATGGGTGGCTGAGTTTCTTCAGGACTAGGATTCCTGAGCTACTTCACCTAAAGAACAATGATACCTGTAGTGTCAGCATCGCCTGTTTACGTTAATCTTTGAATTTACAAGTACATATGGTAGCTTTTGCTTCTTATTTGTGGAAGATGACCAATGCATCTGCTAATTCCCTTGATTTACATAGATTCTTGTTTGTCTCTGTGTGTGTGTGTGTGTTTTAAGCTTTGGTTCTCCCTCCCTGTGTAAAAATGGCACAGGTATGGGGTGGGATTTTAGACATAAAGAAATACCAAGAATTTATTTCCAGCAGGATATCTGATTTGCCCTCTTCTTGAGTATTATGTTGTCTGCCTCCTGTTTGGTGTTTTATATTTCAGTAACGCCAGAGGCCCTCATCAGGAACAAAGTACTGTTGTGTACTAAACACTGTGCAAGCATACCAAGAGACATGGTCTGCTTTGGGAAGATTGTAAAATCTTAAGAAGATTAACATTTGGGAGAGGCTATTTTTATTTTTTATTTTTGTTTACTTTTTCTTCTACTATTTCTCTTGAATCTCTTGGTTGTCTTAAAAATCATTGACACAGTTGTGGTGTCATTTCACAAGAAAAGTCCAAAGGAAGCCTTCTCCTGCAAGGACTATCGAGCCTTGCTTTCTTTCCATGTCCGTGACTAAAATTCTTGTCCATATCATTGTAATTTTTTTGTTGCTGTAAGGGTGATTACATGCTAAGTCTTCAAACATTGGTCATTTGTTTTGTTTTTTCTTGTTTCTTTGATGAGGATATTGAAACAAGTCAATATTCAGAAATATTTCTCTTCTGATTGTCCCCAGCCTTTCCTAGTCCTCTTTTGTTTTTTTTTCCTGCACAGATCACCTTTAAATACATTCTTATTTGCTTAAAGAAGAAAGAGAAAATCCCATGTATGCAAAGGGTTTTGAATGCTGTAAGGTAAACCTGCATGATAGAATTGACTA